ATGACAGCGGAGTTTAATAACTTGACGTCGCTCTTGAACAACGTCACCGAGTTTACAAACCAGACGGCAAGATGCCCGCTAACCAAGACTGGGTTTCAGTTCTACTATCTTCCCACCGTCTACATCCTGGTGTTCCTCACGGGGTTCGTCGGGAACAGCGTGGCCATCTGGATGTTCGTGTGTCACATGAGGCCGTGGAGCAGCATCTCCGTCTACATGTTCAATCTGGCACTGGCGGATTTCTGTTACGTGCTCTCGCTCCCGTTCCTCATCTTCTACTACTTTAACAAAACCGACTGGATATTCGGAGACGTGTTGTGCAGACTGCAGAGGTTCATATTCCACGTGAATCTCTACGGGAGCATCTTGTTCCTCACGTGCATCAGCGTTCACAGATACTCCGGCGTCGTCCATCCTCTGAAATCTCTCGGCCGGCTGAAGAAGAAGAACGCCGTTCGCACCGTGGCGCTCGTGTGGGTCGTGGTCGTGGTGGGAATCGCTCCTATTCTCTATTACTCGCGCACCGGGCCGAAGAAGGGGCTCACGACGTGCTACGACACCACGACCGAAGACGAGCTGCCCGGCTACTTCGTCTATAGCATGTGCTTGACGGTGTTCGGCTTCTGCATCCCTTTCATCATTATCTTCAGCTGTTATGGAGGAATCGTCAAAGCCCTGATTTGCAACGACATGGACAACGCACCGCTAAGGAAGAAGTCCATTTACCTAGTCATCATCGTCCTGACGGTCTTCGCCGTGTCCTATCTGCCCTTCCACGTCATGAAGAACCTGAACATGCGAGCGAGACTGTACTTCCAGAGCCCGGACATGTGTGGCTTCAACGACCGAGTGTACGCCACCTACCAGGTGACCCGCGGCCTGGCCAGTCTCAACAGTTGCGTGGACCCGGTCCTGTACTTCCTAGCCGGAGACTCCTTCAGACGCCGGCTCTCCAGAGCCACCAAAAAATCCTCCAAGAAAGGAGATCTCCAGTCCAAGAGCGAGGAGACGGCGCTCAACAGCCTGTCGGAGAAACGGGAGTCGTGATCCGCAACTCCTTCCCTCGGACTCAAGGGAATTAGACTATTGGAAATCATCGTATACTGTGGTCAGTGTTACTCATGTATTGCTTTTAACATGTCTAATGTGATTTTCCATGGAACTGAAACTGAATGAGCAAATCACTAACAATGTTTTAACAGTAACGACTAATGTGGGAAATATAACAAGCACTGGCGTTTTAGTTGAGGATGCTTGAACACTCTTAAAAATAAAGGTTCTCAATGGGCATCAAAAGGTTCTTTATGATGGGAAAATGTTTAAAGAAAAAATGGTTCCTCCATCGCTGTGTAAAACCTATAGGGCTCTATCACACACCCGGTGCAATGCAGCGCCAGGCGCGACGCTAGTGTGTTCTGTTAGTCTCAGCCCGACGCAGTTTTCATTTTCTCGTCCTGCGTCACGTTGTTTAAATAGCAAATGCATTTGCACCCATTTGTGCGGCGGGTCTGAGAACCAGGTGTGTGTTCGGGCGCATTGTTGGACCGTTGCTATTGTGAGGAACTGAAATACACTGAGCCGTTGACCAACTGAACCGGCTCTAAAGTCAGTGGCGCTATATTATGTATTATTTTGTTATTTAAAGAGCGCGTTAGTAATGTGAGCCTAGGCGGGTCCACAACACGCTACACTCTGCTTATTACACACACATGGACGCGCAACAGCATACAAACATGCAAATATTAAAGATAAAAGTATTACAATGTAAAAGATTAATATTGTGTGTATAGATATGGTGGAATCCGGCTTTTTGAGCTTTAACCTCACACACACACACACAGCTTTAACCTCGCGCACGAGTAGATCAGATCAGTCTTTCCGCTTGCAAATTCCTTCATGTAAATAGCAAATCCGCCATGTGAGCGCAACTGGGAATGCGAGATGAGACTCTGATTGGTTTATTACACGTTACGCCCAAAACACACCCATTACTCATTAAGAGAATAGAGACGACACTTTTAGACCAGCGCCGGGAGCGCCGACCATTTTTCCCGTCGTTAAACTAGCAAAAGTGGATTCGGACAGGCTCTGAGTGCACTTGCGCTGTGCGCTTTAGACCATGCGATTAGATCGTTAAAATAGGGCAAAAAAATATGGGCGTAGTGTCCGTGACGTCACCCGTTGGTTCTGAAGAGCAATTTTGTGACGTGACGTGACGCTAACGCTAGCAGACAAACGGCAAGTAGTGACATCAGCGGCAATCCACCTGTCACTCAAGTGGCCACGCCCTTAATTATGCAGAACTTTAAGGCTTAATATAATTTAAACGGATGAGTTATAAAAATATTCACCCCCCTCACAGTCGTCATGAAGGGCAACATTAGCGATATAGACCAAAAGCACTTTTTGCACCAGACTGTAAACGTGTTATTCTGCTGTAAAGTTCTGCATTTTAACATGCGGGTCTATGGGATTGAGTCTCTTCTGCAGCCGGCCTCTA